AAGTACACATGCCCAGACTCGCAAGAAAGATCAGCAACAGGTGTTGTGCAAAGAGTTAGGAAAACATCTGCCTACTTTGCTACACCCACAAAGGCCTTACTGTTTCATCTACATCCACAGGTTTCTCTTCCAAGATGGGTCCTACAGTCACTGACTGGGCTTTTCCTAAGCCTTGCTTATTAACGAGGATTCCCAAATTTGCATTTCTTCAGCAGGCTAAGGAGAGGGGACATAAGGTCTAGGGACACAAAGGGGTCATTCATTCCCGGACTGCTCCCTGATTTTGAAAGTGCACACACAACAGTGTCAAGAAACAAGAGGACAGCGTAATATTAAAGGAGCAGTGAAGTGAGGGGAAAGACAAGTTTATCTTACTTTCCTGGAGAACCTCCCTAAAACAAGTGCAGAAGAAGAAAGTGATGGTGGTGCCAGTACTATAAAGGAGGAGGCTCAGGATCCACGGAGCAACGTGAAATGAGCTTGGGTTAGACCGGCTGCCTTTAAACAGTACAAATGCGATCGCTATGTGGACTTCAAACACTGAAACACTAAAAGAAAAATGAAGAATTTGTTTACTACAAATACATTTTCATGTACCTAATGGCCCAAAATAAAAAAAGAGGCTGGTTTTATTCTGAAACGTGGTCAGGAATGTTAAAACAGGCTTTTGTATACACAAACAAAGGCAGCATGGGAAACAAGAGCTTGGGAGTTACTTAAATGTCAAGGATTACGTTGTACCAGGTAAAACTGAAATGTAGCAGAGGGACTCAGTTTCATAAATGAAATGTCATTGCTGATGGGTACAAATTATGTAAGAAAGATGGAAAGGGAAACAGAGGTGGCACTTCGTCAGATGCAGTTACAGCGGCAGCAAGATACAGTTCCGCAGCCAAGAGAGCGGTAGTCACAAATAAAGAAAAACTGACGCAGACATCTGCTACAGCCTACTCCAGCAACGAAAAAGCAGGATCAAGGTACTCAACGCCACGGGACACTGTACTTGTGGGGAATTTAGCTGCCCACATATCTTTAACAAGCACCACCAAAACACTGGCCAAAGATGTTTAGGTGTTACACAGAAACCTGCTCTAACCCAGACAGTACAGGTTCTCCATGAGGAAGAATAAAATCCCCCAAACCCAGGAACTGTAGCTGAGAAATTAAAAGTGACACCAATGAACAAACTATCTGAATGTAACATGGTAAAGAGTTTATTTGTTTGACTTAGAAAAGGTCTCCGGCATAATCCACTGGACACATACACGTTAAATATACAGATGCATACCAAAGGAAACCCAGAAGGCACACGTTCAGCCAAGAGGCTCATTCCGAACCACTCATCATTTCATGCCAGAAAGAAAGGGCTGCGAGCCCCAACATCGTTACTCTCTGCCCAAAACCAGGGCTGCAATAGGCCTCACGATACGCCGCACAGATCAGCAAACCTGGGCTGACAAGCCAAAGAGTAAACAAGATCTGGAGAACAGTGTCCTCCTGGGATTGTCCAGGGTCAGGACACGGATGCCAGAGAGAGCTAATCTTGTTCTTTAAACAGCAACAGAACAGCCAACATCTCCCATCTTTCCCACCCCCTGGGGAGGTTAGCGACTTGGCTGCAAGAGGCAGCATCTTGGGCAAGGACCAAGCGATAGCTTATGTGAAGGCTGCTGAGGGTACTGCTGTACCTTCGGCCTCCGCTAGCAGAGTTCCAACCGAATCCATAAGCACTGCTCCTTGCCCCTCTGCCCCTCAGCGCCATCAACCACATTTTATCTGGAGAGGGATATTCAATTTACAGGTCAGAGCCTCAGGTTTCTAGCACTCATCAAGAACCACAATTAGCAAAACTAGTCAAAATAAATGCGGTCACCTCACCCAGCCTCAGACCTGTTGCCATAGGAGCAGCCAAATAGTCCAAGTTCAGCTGATCTTATCTTCAGGGAAGAACAAGTTCCGCCAGAGTCTGAAACATCCACTCCGGATCAGCAAGGCTGCATGCATCCCCAAAGAGGCACGCTGAGTTTAAGGAGCAGATTCATATCATGCAGGAAAGCAAGTTTGCTCTCTCAAATTAAGTAATTAAACAGCGTGAGATAAGCCTAAGGAGTTCTACTAGTCCCTGGAGTCAAGGCATGAGGCTCAACTGCTGCGACAGGGAAGGAATTTAACAAGAGAGGATCACCTTGCAGGAACTGGCATGGCAACAAAACAGAAGACAAGCAGATGAGAGATTTTCTCTGGAAGGGAGATGCTGTTAGTTGACAAGGTTAAAGAGAAGTGCTCTCCCTTCCGTCACAGGAAAGAGAAAAGTAAAGCACGTTAATAAGTAAGCAGAGAGGGAAAGGGAGGGCAAGTGAAATCAGCCTCTCGGACTGCTGGTGAAGTCACTCCACTCCAGATGAAGCAACAAAGACATAAAAACAAAGAGATAAAGGACTTCCTGGAAAACCCAACCATATATATCAACATGGTACTAATTAGATAATTAGCCTATTGCACAATTTAAAAATAAATAAATATTTTAAAAGTCTGGGAGAACAAGGAAGCACCAGATGACAATGTTCTTATCAGAACGAAAAGTGGAACAATGTTGGCCTGATAAATTTATCTCTGATCTCTGCTGACAAAGTGAAATAAACACAAGGAGAGGGGAAAAAAAAATCTCCCGAACATCTGGAAAATAGCAGAAGTATGGCAAAACCAAGGCATTTCAGACAAGCCTACAAACATACAGCAAACACACAACTTTTGGCACATGAGCCGAACACCTGAAGCCAACGGGCTAACTCGTGGATTAGGTTATGTTACGTCCAAGCGATGGTGTCATTTCCAACACCTCTTTTCTCCCATTACTGGGAACAGTTTTATAAAACACTGCTGACAGTAGGCTGACAGACCCAGCTGTAAAACTCCAGCTGGTTCCCAGAAGGCTTTATAGAGTAGCAAGCATTTAACCCATGGAACGAGGATGAGTACGTTTAACAGAGGGCACAGTACCTTTGGTATTCCAGGGTCTCAAGACATTCTGCAGGGTAAAGTCAAGAGTAAACCAGACAGGCCTGCCATTCAAGTTAAATACACTTCCAGGAAAGGCAGTTAATCTATTAGTCAATCAACCAATCGCATTTTATCACCACTACAGACAGCTCTTTCAGTGTAATGACCACTACTGCAACCCGGCACCTAGCAGAGTCTTTGGAACAGCTTGTTCTGTGTTGGGAGTGCAGCAGTTGCCTTTGCCGTGAATTCACTGTGGAGTGAAAAACCCAGCTGGTTTCTCTAAACAAAAGAAAGTAAGCTGAACCTGTGTTTTCTGATGTTTTTGGGCAAGTAAGTATGTTAGTTTTCAGGTGACTACTTACAAATCAGGATTTCTTTCTCTTAGGTATCACAAGAGGGCTTATTTATGACAGCAGAGTATGTAATTTAGATGGCAAGAAAGCAGAGTGAAACATCAATCCACACACTGAAGAAACAAAACCAACCCGCTTCTCCACACTGTTAGTGGGCAGAACTGGAAAAGGGCCAGCGAACAAGAGGACAGATGTGTCCAACAGGTCCCATGTAACGAGTAGCTACGTATACCAGGAACCTGCAGCTTGAAAACAGTGATGATGGAGGACACATGTGATACAGGTCTGTAAAATCACAAGTGGCAAGGAGACAAGGAACAGGGGTGGTCATCACATCTGACAGTGGAAAAATGGGGGCCACTCGATGAAAGCATCAAGAAAACCCTTAGAACAGCCTGACAAGGGTTCTTTTTCATACCCCACAATGAACTCGGGGTTCATTCCCACAGAACACTGTGGAGGCCAAAAGTAGAAAAGGGTTTTTAAAAAGGGACTAAGTGCATTCATTGAGGCCAGATCCAGAGGAACTGCCAGTTCAGAAAGTCCACAGGCTGCTGGAACGGTGTCAGAGAAGGACCTCTGTATACAAGCTCTGTATTTTACGGTTCTGCGATCACCTGTTACTGGCTGCCCTCAGAGAGAGGACAGCAGATGAGATGGCCTTCGGTCTGACTGCATGCAGCGCTTCTTATGGATCAAAGCTCTCAATTTTGGCATTATTTAGAGTTTGGAAAGGTTAACTTCAAAAGGAACATTTGAAAAGCTTCTATGCCTCCTCTGCTTCCCTGTGCAACCCTCAAAGATGTGCTCTTAATCATTCAGTTTCCATGAATGGTGAAGTACTGCTGAATTAGCAACAAACAGGATTTTCTAACAGCCACTGAAGGCTTCATTACTGCTCCCATATCCTGCCCCATCCCCCTTACAAGGCATTTTTCCTGACCCAGTCCCAGCTGCAGGTTACACATCCCCCTATATTCCTTTCTTCCTCTTTACTACATTCTTGCTAAATCACTTTGTTCGACTGCTGTAGTTATGACACGAAACAGTTAAGATACTAACCTGTTGGCCTTTTCTAACTAAACCCTTCTCCCAGACCACTCATTTCTGTGTGGATAAGCGAAAACAGGAATCTACAGGAAGACTCCTTGTGGACAAAGGATCGTTACGCTGTCTGTAAACATCCTTATTTCACCCAGAATTTCCCACTTGGATTGGATTTAGCCTTCCAGCCAGTCAGACCAATACATTTCTGCAGTGCAGCAGAGTAAACAATGCAACACAGTGATTCGGAGTCTGTAGCTAGACAGACCGAAGTAGCAGCACAGGTTAAGTCAGAAAATCTCCTGCATTCATCTGGACACAGAGCGAGCTCCGAGACCAGTCATCACAGTTGGTTTTATACATAAAGTACATGTGCACGCAGATGTATGGACTAACATTAATCACTAACCCTCATTTAAGGGACCGACCATCCGAAGTCTACGCCTCACCCAGTGCTTTAACTGGGGGTGCCGGGTGCATCCAGGACGCGCAGGGCCTTCCCAGACCACCGCGTGAGGACGTGGCTGTAGGTTCAAAATCAATCAGGAGGTCACTGTTCCAGCTTGTTCAGTCTTCAGTTCTCCAGACAATCCTTCCCAATCAAGATAACACACAGGTAGATTGTTTGTTTTTATCACTCGTAGTGGAGTTTGGACCCACGTTACCTGGAATTTAAAGAAGTAATGTTAAGTAAATAAGACCTGGATAAAGTTTGGACTCACGCTTCAATCCTCTCTCCTTATTTACTGTAGACCTTGTGTTAGGCCTACATTACTCTGCACTCTCTCGTGGGTTTATTTCCTACTATTGTGAAATGAAGGGACACTAAAATAAGAGCCAATTCAGAGTATACTGTTGAAAAAAACACTGGAGAAGTATTTCCAGGCTTTGGCCTGTACCCAGGCCAGCTTCAGTGGTATTGTCATGTACCAGGTGGCACTGGACAGTCTGGCCATGACTTGGGTGGGAGGTTTTCCAAAGAGTGAGGTATGAAGAAAAAAAGGTGAGGTCATTTCATCCATGTGATCCCCACACGCACTCTCAGTAGAGGTTTCTTCACATCCCGCTTTAAACATCTCAAGTGCCAGTATTTCCACCATCTCCTTCATGAGACAAATCCCAAGGCCTCAGGGTCTCTCGCTTAAGTAGCACAGTATGCTGCCCCAATTTCTTATCATTTGCAGTTTTTTCATTGCTCACTCTACAGATTGCTTCTGCTCCCCGTACTTTTCAATGCTTGCACTCTGATCTCCTTCATGACAGCCAGCTGTTGGTCTGGATGCCCCAGTGTATTTTTTTCAAGCACTGTACTAAAGTGTGTTTGCAGAGGCTTTTGCAAGTAGAATCATAGAACGGTTTGGGTTGGAAGGGACATTAAAGATCTGTGCTCTGATCTCAGCGAGGCGTACACGACCTATAGCCCAGCGCAGGATGTACTGGGAGGGGCTGCCACGCGGCTTGCCGTCACTCTGAACAAGAGCAGACCCCACTCACGCGTTTGTACAGAAGGAAGGTGCTGGTGCCCCTCCCAGGCAGTTGGAGCCAGTGGCCAGTACAGAGTGAGAACAGGGAGGGAAAACTGCCACAGGTTATGGTGGCGTAAGTCTCAACCTTGTTCAGATGAGGGAGCTTTCAACCCAAGCGCTGCCTCTGAACTGGGGTTCAAGTCAACCATTTCTCATGTCACTCTCTGGTGGGTATTTGAGCAATGTCTCCCTCACCCGCAGGTGATGGGGAAGAGAAGAGCTCTCTCCTCTCCCCCTCTTTCTTCGACACTGCAGCTTCTTGACATCCACATGGGAGGCTGCACTGCAACCTGCCCCTGTTTTTGTGGCTGCTCTGTATGCTACTGCCTCCTCCCCACATCTTCCCATGGCATTTCATTCCACCTCCTCTCCCCTCTTTGACCCATTCTGTATGTTACTACTAAGTTTATTGTTACTCCTATCTCCTCACCACCCCTGTTCCCCCCCAGTCTGTATCACGTTTGAGACACTCATGTTTCCTTTCAAAAGTGTCTGTGCTCCTCTGCTTAATCGCAACTCCCAACTCCTCTATTCTTCTCACTTTCTACTCGTTTTCCGACCTTTTTCTACAGATCCCGCCACAGTTAGTTAGAAAAAACACCCTCCTGGTATGTACCCAACAACGTTCCCCTCTTTCTCTTCAGAAGGGAGGCTGAAAATTCCAGTTACCACCTGTCCATGATCCCACTTCGGTGGAAAACCACTGGTGATAACTAAGTAGCTATTTCTGTGGTATTGCAGTGCCCAGTGTAAAGCCCATTTCTTGTTGCAAAGACCTAAAAGTGAAACAAAATCCTGCTATTATGTACATACGTTTTGCAACCAACATGAGGAGCGACGGATATTCAGGCTAGCAGACCCTTCTGAATGAGCCCACTTTGCTTCTTGCAGGGGAGAAACCAGAACAAAAGCCAGCACCTTCCAAAGGCACGCAGCTTTCCAACCCTAGCAGTATTTCCCAGCAACTGCACCCAGGCATCATCAGTGTCTTTGCTGATCACAGTCTGCCCAGCTGCAGCTTAAAATTAACAAGATTCTGGTCAGGTTCAGAGCTGCTGCTCTTGTGTTCCTAAGAGCGCCACAGTGACATTCAGAGTTGTGTCAATTTGATGGTGTGGTTTAGGAATGCCTCCCAAGACAAAGCATAGTCTCCGTGAAGTGATCCAGGACAACACCTCAGAATATTAATCTGGACACTTAGTTTGGGACACCACTCTCTGCAGCCCTTGTATTTTCTAGACTCCCAATTCTGACTTGCAGGTATCCTTTTCTAGCAGGTAAATACTGAGCCAGATGTTCACACTGTCGCAGAATGCACCTTCATCACTTCCCAGTTCAGATTCTCTTCATCACCATTTGCTCTTACAAGACTGAACCTGACCTTTAGCCTGATTGAATAATGTCTTTCAGTTACTCTGTGAGCTACTTAGGGTGTGGAGCTGGTCTCCCTATGCATTTGCAGGGTGGGATGCGTCTCCGTGGTACTACAGAATTAATAGTGACTTTGGTGGATGTGTGCACAGGCAGGCCCACAGGGCTTAAGTGTGCTGTTTAATCTTTACAAAAGGTAAGGGCAGCTATTTCGAACTGTGAAGCTCTGAATAATTGCATCCTAACCTGACTGCATAGCAAGCACCTTCTCCCTCCTTCATTTCCACTTCTTACCTCCCTTCTGTCTCCCAGAATATCACAGCATCAGTTTTTACTAGGCCTGATCAAAGACAACTTACACGTTTAAAAGTAAGTCAGTCCTACGGCTGCCCAAGAACAGAGTGCCTCCTGTTTTTATCCTGAAGCTGGAACTCTATTCCATGCCCCTGTTCAAGACTTCTTTATTAAATCCTGATGAAGCACGTGCTACTGATCAAGTAGCTGCAGGATCTTCTGGGTAACCCCCTTCTTTCCTTTCTCGTGAGTCTCCATCTTCTTAATACGCTCCGTTCACATGCCACTTTGGGACCATTAGACTAGAGAAGCATTCTCTCAAGAACAGCAATTCAAGCCAAAAGCAACACACAAGCGGTGATCTTCCTCCAGCCTTTTACCACACCAGATGACCCAAGTCTGCTTACACCGCACTTCAAAAGCTGTGGGGTCTCCCATCGCTGCCATCAGCTGGCATTCTCAATTTGCATTAAACAAAAAACCGTGCATGGACTCCCTGGAAAGACATATCAGGTCAGGCAGAGGACAAGGGAAGGCTGGTGTGCTGAACCTCTGCGTCTCCCCTGCACCTTCTTCCTTCCCCTTCGCTGAAAGAGGTGGCTGCCCTCAGGATGCAGCAGCAGCAATGAATAACACCTGAACGTAATAGCACGATAGTGTCTTTGTGGAAACGGTCCAGACCAAGCGTCAAGACCGTCTGGCACAGACCCACCGTGTTAAAAGGGAGAGGGACATCGCGGCTGCCCTGACTCTGCAATGTCCCAGAAGGGCGCAGGGCCCCACCGTTCGACTACAGACACCAACCTCTCCCGTGCCTTCATCTGCCCCTCGCTGCATCCCGACACGGTGGGCACGGCGGGCTGGCTGCTCGCAAACAGGCGAGGAACGCAGGGAATCGCTGACACTGTGAAGTGCTGACAAACCGGAGATGGCACAATTCTCCACTTCTGTCACTAGAGGGTAGTGCGAGCTCTCAGGTCCACTCCTCCGAGGGGAAATGCCCATACCTCTCCCTGGAGCCGGCTTCGGTTTTCCTGGCTCGGAGGAATTGGGGCCCAGCAGCACACACGGTCTAAGCTCAAGACATAGTCTTGAGACAGACTGAGACTTGGAGACCAGGGTTTACTTCTGCCTCCCCAGATGCCAAGCGCACATCCTAAAACGGGTCTACTAAAATAAAGTACCCACACCTTCTCACAGTTCCTCTCGCGTCCGTTTGGCGGTTTTGAGTCTGTCCTTCATTCAGCCAGAAATATTTCTAAGAACACAATCGGTCGCTGCTGCTGACCTTCCCAGCACCTTGCTCTTCTTCTGGGGCTCAGGCGAATGTCTTTCCGTTTCACATCACGGCGCTCTCAGGGGAATCCAGTCTCTCTACGCCGGCATTTCGCATTCATCAGGGCGCAGAACGCTCTCTGGCCAGACAAGCCGAGGAGAAATTTTCTCCACAGAACTAGTTTATCTTCCTTATGGCACAGGATGTATTGACACCCAGCACTGCTCCCTGAGAGAGGAAGACAACCAGGCTGACTAGTCCATAGATTTACTTCAATCTGACAAAACATCTACAATGTTGGGAGTTAGCTATGAACCCATAAACTGGGAGAAATCTTAATCATCTGTGTCTTCAACCAGCGGAAGCCTTGGAAGGACTCGGTGAAAATATCAATCATGCGTTCGCAAAGAAAGAAAAGTTGAGATCTAGTACTTCTCCATAGCTCCTACTTTCCTGACCTTCTCCCCCACTTTAGAAGATGATAAAGGATCAAATGAAAGACTTCCACCCTCTCGTCCGCTCGCTGCCCCCTCACCTCAACACAAACATGTTTTCCTCTCTTTTCCACCAGTAACTTGCCACAGTAAACACACCCGACTAAACCCAAATGAGGAAAGGAGGGGTTACCCTGAAAATCTGTCTGCAGGCTGCTAGCTACTGCTCCAGCGAACATCCAGCTGCTGTTTATTAGGGCAGTGTGCTTCATGAACTGGACGCACAACCTCTTTTACACAAGGAGACATTCACCTTTCTCTTCCTTCATCCCACACCCACTTGTTGAGAAGTATGAGAAAACGTTTACGTGAGAAGTACCAACTCTACAGTAAGACTGCCCTTAAATTGCCTTCAACTCAAACTGCCTGTATTGCTTGATGCAACTTCTGCCCTTCTTTGATCACGCTTGTTTTAACACGGAGGAAATAACAGGATCTACTCACAGGTGTCTACACTGCACATGTTTGCACCAGTCAGCGAAACTCAGGACAAGGGACACAGAAGCAGAATATGCCGACAGAAGAGGTTTTACCTGAGATGCCTCCGGTGCTCCGGACACTGGCATGGCCAATGCTGAGCCTCTCATATTCCAGTTTCATGTTCCCAAGGTCTTCTCCTGAGTGTCCTTCACTGGCAAAAGAATTGGCCTCAATGCTTGAGCCTGGAGACCGTTTGGCCTTGCGACCAAAAAGCCCACTGGCAAACCGTTTTCCTTGCTTTGAATTGGCCTGTGCGTCTTCTTTCTTCACGTCACGAATAGACTCTCTGGATTTGGATTTATTTTTCAGGTCCATGTGGAGCCGGAAGAACACTTTCTGAGGGCTGCGATTCAGCTTGTTCAAGTTCTCCAGAGGTGGATCAATTTCTGGGAACTCTTGATCCAAGGTGACTAAGTCATTCAGAAACTGATTTAACCGTTTCTTTGACTCACTTGTTTCCTCCTTTTCCATGTTCCCCTGATTATCCTGCCTGTGTCGTGAAGCCCAGAGCATCATATCACCACGGGTTGCCCCTGCCACTAAACCATACTTGGGGTTAATGAACTTCCGAGCCACGGTGGAGGACTGAAGGCCTGGCTTCCCGATTCCGAGGAGTGGGTTAGCAATACCCAGTTCCTTGTAGAAATTAACTTCCTCTGAGATGGCATAGAGCTCCCGAAACTCGATGTCAAACATCTCCACGTGCTGTCCCGTCAAGACTAGCAGGATGTTTCTGTCAATGTGGGATGAACTCCATGTGAAGCTAAAGAGTAGGAAACAGAACCAACATTAGGTTTTTGGGTGCGTACTTGACCCAGATGACCTAACACTATTTAAGAGACTACATGGGAATATGTAGCATTATGCCAGTTGCCCATATGTCCTTGCCATGACGCGTCAGGATAGATACATGAAGCTCTTTACAATTATTGTTCATTAGGCATGCAGACCAGATCTGGAAAAAAAAGGCCCTAAAACTGTGAAGGACAGTTTACCCTTTTAAAAAAGCAACACGTCATCAACAGGAGGAGCCTCCAGACTGAAAACCACACTAAAGAGCAGAGTGGCTGGTGGGGTGTCCTTGCAGGCCACCACCTGATGTAGTGTGGAACTATCTCTAGCCCTCTGAAATGGTCCACTAGCATGGGCATGTTCCGTTCTCTCAGGAGCAGCTTCTGCTCCATGCCACCTTCTCTCCTGTCCCACACCAATGTCTACAGATGCCACACAGATTAGAGAGGCTGGGATAAGAAAGGGAATGACATGGGACAAAGACTCAAGCAAAGCCACAAGCCATTCTTTACACAAAGAATGTAGTTTTCCCTTAAGCAAGAGCGACCCACCTGTATGATCCAGTGGCCACCTTTTCACCATCCACCATGAGGAATCGGGATGCCAACGTGCCTCTGATCTTCCCTGCTGGCATGTAGAACCCAACTCCTGTCACAGAACGTATGCGGATATTCTAACAGGGAGGTGAAAAGACAAAATGTCACAATAAATAGGGCAGAGAATTAGATAATTGCCAGCTCCAAGTCTTAACATGTCACTCACGTTATCTCACTACTTCTGGGACTACAGCTCATTTTGTATCAGCCGCCAGAAACCAGAAGGGCTGCGGAAAGGAAAGCACAGTGCCGTAAGACCTGTTGTCATCCCCCGGCCATGCAAGTCACTCCCGTCCATCACTTTATAGCCCTGTCCAACGGGTCAGCATCTCTGTGACCCTGCCTGCTGTCTTCAGCTATTCATCTTAGCCCACCGGCAAGGCAGTGTTTTCAGAATCAAATAACCCTCCACCTCCAGGCCCGTGCTGTAGCTCAGAAGGCCCAGCCCATTTCAGGGGAAGGAATCAGAGGAAGCTCTGAGTCACGTCTGCACTCTCTGAATCCTGATCCCTATTCCACAGCACTCGTGAGCTCTTCTTCCAGATTACGTCAGCAGGAGCACAAAACCAAGGAACTTTGCAACACCTGTGCAGTGCAGAGGACACAGTTACTTGGAGGGTAACGCACGAGACGGGTCTACATTAGGTCCTTTTTGTGTGTGTGTTCTGATTCCCAGCAACACACAGCTTGACAGAACTGGGCAAAGTGGAAGACTGGACAATTTAGTTATTACAGAAGAGAGGAGGAAGCAACTCTGTTGCTCAAAAGATAGATGTTTCCTATCTTTTATAAGAAAAGAAGAACCCTGACCTTTATAATTTTGCTAAGAACCCCAAATAGTTACAGTGTCCACCCAGATTCCTCAGTGGTCAACAGAGAGTGAAAAACCACCAAACTTTTTTTTGAACAAAAGGATTAGGATAAGTGTCTCTACTGATGTCCTGAAGAATTTCTGAAGAAAAGGAAGGAAAAGCTTTTCATTAAACGAATGGAAGCAGTCAGAAAAAGATGAACCTCCTGCCTCACGCCCTTTGGCCAGCAAACCTACACGTAATAAAGCACTGCCAGGCACAGAGAAAACACCGATTTAAGCTTACATGATTTTCAACAACAGATGTGTGCCTGCACGCAGTATTTGCACATTGGACTGGGTGTTATTCTGCTCATGGGTCCTGGCAGCATGAGGCTGAACGGCCAAACGTGCTACCATGAAACACTGTGCCCTCCCCAACCCAAAAACATTGATTGTCAGTCTAAGTTGAGAGCAAATTACCTTGTCTCTCTGACACACAAATTTAGACTATCTTCTTCATTCCACCATCTGTTTCTGTAAGAATTCTTTAACAATGAAAAGCTAAAAGGTATTGTGATCTGGAGTAACAAATCCAGGGTTGGGAGTCAGATAGTCCCAAGTGTAATCACAGTTCTGACACTGTTCCCTGTGATGTTCTGGGAAAGCCAATTCAGCTTTGCCTCATTCTTCCCTCATCTGCAGAGCAGGAGAACCATGAGGATTTGGCTAACGCTAGCCCAGCCTCGGATCCCACAAAGAGCTAAGCCCTATTATTATAAGCCTCACTGACAGCTTAAATATTGACAGGCTATAAAAATCAGCATGCAGGAACAAGCAATTATTAGCACGCAGATTTCTTTCAAAACACATGCTTCTGAATATAACTCTCACCTTCTGAATCTGCTGCTATTTCCCCCACTAAAATACAGCAGTGGCAGTACAAATTCTGACTAACAGTAACCGACGATACTACTGTTTTGCATTCATCTATTGCTTGATCTGTCTGCAGTCCTGTGTGGGCATTAGCTAATTAATGCTCCCAACACTGCTGCAAGTATTATTACCCTGGTTTAAAGATGAGGAGCCTGAGAGAGAAGAAGATGAAGTGACTTGCCCAAGGCCCAGCAGTGAGTCATATGTGTGGGATGCTGAATGCGGGTTGGGTAGAGCACAGGAGAAGGGGTGCCCTTTCCAGTATTTCGAACGACGTTCGGAGTCAGCCGGCTGATCATCTGAAGTAAGTTTTCTTTTCCTTGCTGAGTGAAGCTGGACGTGGGATTTGCCAAATCATGGAATAGTGACTGCAAGTGTCAAGAATGACCTCTGTTCTTCCAATCAGTCACCAGCTCTGACATGTCCCCTACCTTTGTGAATCAAGAGGGATCAGCCTGTGTGAGCAGGAAGTTTCTTAGCACGTAACACGTGTGGATTTTATTGTGTTTGTATGTTATACCACCTTCTTTTTGGTAGAAAGAAAGCACATTTGAATTTCTGCAGTAACTGAGCTACACATAACACTTAGAAAGGCACAGAGGGGATAGAACCAAACAGCTGAACACATAAACATCCTTGAACAAAGTAGGCACAGGAGTGCATAAATATATCTTGAAATGCAGAAAACAAGCACAAAGTCATATAAACATCGAGTCACTTAACAGGTTATTTGTATAATGTTTTCTGCCTTGAAGGATCTTAGAGCACTCGCAGACTGATCTATCAAGCTGTAGAGAGGAGGAACAAGCCTGGGTTCATGTACTGAAGACTATACAACAACAAAAGAGGAAAGACAAATATAAATGAGGTGAGACTGCAGCCATTTTTGGGGCACTTGTGTTACAGTGGTAACATATATTTTGGGTAGAGGACCAGTTAGTTCACCAGATAGAAGTGACCCCTCCAGATCTGTATGCCTGCCGAAGCCTGCTTAAGGTTTGTCATATCCTGCCTTGTGGAAGCTCAGACTGCATTAAATTCCCACATTTCCCTCACACAGGCTTGCACTGCTCTTCATCACACGCAGTGACTAACGTCTCCCTGGCAGCAACTGAATTCGGACTGGTAACAGTCAAGCCTGACACAGCATCCTAATACAAACAGGGAAGGAATTGGTCCTTCTTGTGACGCACTATTAAACCTCATGCTGAATCCACGGAAAGTCAAATTAGACCCAGTTTAGAGAGCCAGTAACAGGTTGCATTACGACTGACAGTTGTCACTTGACAGACTTGGGCAGTAGTGCTCACAAGCTGGGGCTGAGTAGGGGGGATAGGCAAGACAGACTCTAGAGGGAAGCCTTGTGAGTACTTCCACCAGGGAATCCTGTGTGTACCTTCCCTCTTAGAACAACTGCTGACACATATGTTGCAAAGCAATAAGGGATCTTTATTTCAAGTTGGGAGGGATGGCATAAATGACCTCTGTAAGCTGAGATGTAAAATGCATTAAGGAGAGGCAAAGACAAAGCAGTAGCTGACAGATGACAGTGACTCAACAGCCTCTTATATGGACTCTGTTTTTCAAAATGTGGAGATCCCCTTTCTGCAGTCCCTGGAAAAGAAATAGATCCCTTCAGTCAACAGCATCTGCTGAGGTAGCTCCCATCCTTTGTTTTCTTGTACTACTGCTCCACCTGAGCACAGACCTGAGGGGGAGGCCCATTATTTCCCACTCCAAAGTCCTAGGTGGAGGTAAAACAGAAAGGGGAAAGAGAAAGAGAGGTAGAGGATTCATGTGGTCAGGACCACAGTAACAACAGTAAAGCATTTTTTCTTACTCATGGGCTGCAAGATTCTCATTTTGGGTGAACCTCGAGGTCAGAGGAATGGGTAGTGGGTGCTCATCTTACACAGAGACACAAAAGCAGCCATGAGTTGGGAGCGGCCACCAAGTAAATTTGGGAGATACTGTGGACTTATCCTATGAGTTTGCCCCAAACAGTTTTGGAAAAGGCACGCTTGTTGACAAAACAGTAAAACTTGCAGGTATTCAAGCAGAATAGGATGGAATGCAGGTAGCTGGATGTGGCCTGCCAAGGCCATTACTGGGAATTATTTATTTGGGTCTTTGCAAAAAGAGAGCCTTGTAAGCCCCCATTTTCAGAGGGTACAAGCAGCCTCGGAGTATTTTCTAACAGCTAAGTAAAAAACCAACTGCACTGCATGGCATTACATTCAGCTTCTCCCTCACTTGAGACAGGAATCAATGAGGAAATGTAAAATACTGAAATGGAATTCCAAAAATCTCTTTGGCAGAAACTTTTAAGAATTCCTGGAGTGAGGGGAGGAACCCCTTACATATTGGGAAAATGAATGTAAAAATTAACATGAAGGTGAACCTCCTGCAGGTAACTCGTTCCCTGGGCTTGCTTGGAGCTCTAGGTGAACCCTCTGTCTCTGAGCAGGAGTGGGGTCCTGGTTGGCAGAAGCATGGGGAGAAAGGGAACTCATCTAAAAACTGGAGAGAACACTCACCCTCAGGTCACCAAAAAGAGGACTTTTTGTGGGGCTCTGAGTTTTGTGTCTGTGAAAACTCTGACTCACTGTGATCTCCGAAGAACGCTCCCATGTCAAACAACAGACGTGTGGTAAACCATGTCCCATAGGCTCAGGAAGCCATGTGACTCACACGCACAGGACATGCTGTTACGAACATCCCAGGAAGAATGTGCCAATGGTTGAATTTAAATGCATTTCTAGTGATTGCTGGCCTTCAGACAGAAATTGAGGTTTTCTCATTTCATGTTTGGAGTCGGTAAAGAATTTTCTGTCTTTGCAGGCTGAGTTACTGTCTTCCTACAGACAAACTGTGGCCCACTGGTGAAAAACTTTTAGAAGAAAGCAAAATGGTTACACAAAAAGACAGTGTTAGAAGAGAATGTTTTTTCCCTGTTGCTAAAAATCTGTAGAAGAACTTCAGACATCAAAGCAGATGTCAGAAGAAAAGACACCGTGCATAAGAAATGGGTGAATGATAGAGTTAAATGCACTAGAGTTTCTTGTTCTTCCTCAGGAATTCCAACATCCTCTGTGATCAAGCAATACAGGACCAAGTAACTCTGTCTGAACAAGACCGGAGGGGCCCAGCTTGCTTTCTTGCTTTAAATCTGTCTCTTCAGCATTAAAACAACGCATGACAGATTACATCAATGAGGTGGGGGTAGGGGGGAGTCCTCAAGGGGAAGCCTTAACCTTGCTTGAGATTCCTTGCGTATCTAAAGCCTGGTGTCAGGGGAAGTGCCGTATGATGATTTCTGCCATGCTGACCCAAGCAGCAGCATAGAGACATCCAAGGTGGCTCTGGGCAGGATGCAAAGAGGCCATCTTTCTTGGGAGGCAAATGACCTGTTTCCCCTTACAGGCAGGCTCTTCCCAGTCCTTCCGTAGGACCACAGATAGGAATAAACCGCACTGACCTTTAAAAAGATTAACTAAAGCTTTTGCCACCCTGGAAAAGGAATACAACAGCCTTAAGGGGAATTTAAGATACAGTATGAGATAGCTGGGAAAAGAGGAGAAAAAGCAGAAGGACAGCACCCTGTGGGCTGGAGCTGTGCAGAAGAATGAACAACTAGGTCAAAGCAGCACGTTAACAAGTTTTCCTCAGTGGATCTCCGTCTAATGAAAAACGTAACAAGGGTTGCTGTGAGGGACAGGAGGGACACAGAAGAGTTTTCTCCTACTTTTGACAGTACCAGTTTGAACTCTGCCTCTTTGGAAAGGGTGACGCAGCTAGGCTGCTGCAGGACCTAGTCCCTGCTGTGGCACGTCACTGGTTGGCTTTGGAGTGTGAAGTTTGTGTAGACACCCATGGAGAAAGAGGTGAGAGGAAGAACAGAAGGGGACCACTTACTGTTTGGATACGGAGAAGGCAGGCAAAAAGGAACTCACCTCTCCGATTGCACTGCAACTTTTTCTAAAATGCCTGGACACCTTTTCATTCACTCTATCGAGGAGTTAAAATACGCAGCACTGAAGGCATCGTCCTGCACATGATGACACGGTGAGAAAAGTGCTGGGAAACAGGTACCGGAGCAAACGGAACTACTGCTGTGATACCACCGTTTTGTACCAAAGGGACTGGAGCCTAGGCCACAGAATACCCCTGAAGCTTGAAACAGATCCATTACAATAACATCTGTGTCTTGCTCTCAATGAAAGACACCAGAAGAAAGAACCTTCCATCTCTGTTCTGGAGAAAGATGAGAAAGCTTCTCGGCTGGATGTCTTTTTTGATGAAGTCCAGAAACTCAGAGCAGAGTGGTAGTTCACAGGAGCACTGTTCAGATATATGCAAGTCATTTTCATCCAGATTTAAGACGGTTGTCCTAAAATGATTAATATGAGCCTCTATAACCTTCAGAGCTTTTTGAGCTTTCATTGTGGGTTTGAGTTTTTTTTAAACTATCAAGAGTTTATGGAAGACCTGCCCTTCCTCCAGGCAAAAAGGCACTTTTTTCCCCCGCTGCTCAGAAGAACAGTTGGATCACAAGAATGTCGAGCCTGTCATCCCATAGGTTGTTTCCAACCTAACTTGTAGCACTACTACAAGTCTGTAGTAGTGACAGTGAATAAAAAACATGAAAAAAGCAAGGAATACAATGCTAACTATAGACACACAAAGGATTTCAGTCTGTATGTAATGGAGTAAGAGCCCACTGAGGCTGCTTCTGCCAGCCAAGCTGGGGCTGACTGCTGTGCTGCATGCACTGTATGAAGGCATACTCTGATACGGAACCGGGAGCAGCTATGCTCCTCAATCCCCTATGTTCTCAGGCAAAGGAGGACTACAAGCTCATTCATGCCTGCATGATGGCTGCTGGGTAGCAAAGTCTTGATTTCCCAGAGTATTTGTGTCCTGTAACTGGGATCCACGCAGACGAGAACTCAAAAGAGCTACTCTGGACTCTAGTTTGAATCCTTCCATAGGAGACGCACAGGAATTTCCTCAGTTCTCTTCCCAAATGGGAAATTTTAGGTCACAAAAGCCAAGAAACTACACAGACCCCTGTCTCAGGTGAAAGGCAAAAAATGCAAATCTTCCATTTCTCTTTTCTTCTGTATTAGCACCCACTCTCCTATCCCTCTATGTTCCATCAACCCCCGTCTAAGAGCTGTGACATGACTTGAAGGGAGGAAGAGATGTGTTTGCCTGTCCAAGTGAGTTCCAAGATTCATCACAACTGAAAAAGGCCACTGACCTGCAGGAGATAACGGTTCGGTATTGAGTATCTTACCCGGATCTGCAAGTCACTGAGCTCAAGGCATCTGCACATTTCCAGGAAGAGCTTCACACCTTCCTCATCTAGGATTATGTAGACTGGGATCCAGCGCTTATATGCTGCATCAACAATATCGCGGAAGATGTCCCGGTCTGTAAATACATCCATGACCACTGCAATAATCTGGAAACAAGAAGATGGCAGACAGACAACAGAATAAAATATTAGGAACTGAAAGGGAGGGCCCATCACACTGGTGGAGTATAAAGGAGAGCACTGATACCAGAACATGAGACGCAAGTACAGGGATGTACATGCCCGAGCACTACCAATAATCTTGTCGTTTTCTGGCCTGGCTCCTGCTGCACTTGGGAAGGAACTTAATAAACGCCTTTGAGAGTTCTTCTAGGGGAAGAGGGCTTATTTCAGCAGCCTGAGGAATGCCAGAGCCAAATAGCTAATTTTCCCTCTGTATTGTGAAACTTTTCGTTGCCTCTGTAAGGATCCACTTAAACAAAAAACGAACACTGAAAACAGATTGAAAACGGAGAGTGAAAAACACAGCTCTACCACTTAATCAGAAGACAAGTGATGGAAGAATGAATGTGCAGCAGAATCAGGGCCTGAATCCTTAGCCATGGTGCAGTCCAGACAATGAGAATTTTATTTTCCCTTTTTCCCCCCCAATTCCCTGTGAAGTCTGCTGTCAGGGCTGGCTTTCTGAAGAATGTCTTATGGACCTCAAACATAAACACCTCATATTTTTCAGGAATGGACTGGAGAGAGAGAGTGTGTGTGTGTGCAAGATTTGGAAGCAAAATGATCATTCTCTCTCCTCACATGTACATTTTTTCTGGTATAAAACTAATCCCTCTTTCCAGGCTAGATTTTACATAAAAAACAAAAGGTTGCGCTGACGTGACAGACAAGCCTGAACATTCATAGGATGAGTAACAACAAAACCAAAGTTATGGGCAACTTTAATGCTGATCTTACATGTCTTGTCCTTCTCTCCCTTCCTGTACCTTTTACACCATTAAAAATATCGACTCACTTTTCTGCCTGCATGAGTTATTCTCCCCAACATTTGAAAGGCTAGGAATGAAGGAAACGACTGTTTTTCTAGTCCCAGTGGGAAACATCAACTTGCCAGGCCAGAGCTCTCAAGCTGAGAGCGTGCTGGGAACACAGTTGCCTAAATTTTCATTTCCCAAGCACGGGGGTCACCGTGCCGAGCCAAGCTATGCTGGGAACGGCACATACAGGTGTGAATGGAGCTGAAGGCTGGACCCAACGGTAGGATTTTCTCCACTGGAAGGCTGGAAGAGGTGCAGCTCAAGTTGAAGGAGGCCCCAGTGGAAGGGGGAATAATTCTCACCAGAGAGCTCTTTCCTTTGCAAAATGCCCTTGAACAAATTGCTTTTGGGAAAGTGATGCCACAGTAAACGTCCCCTGCTGTGTTTGCTGAGTCTCCACTTGCACTGCCAACAACAACCAACACGTCTGCTCTGTCACACTCCTCCTGTCAACAGTGCTTACACAAGCTTTTCTTTGTTAGAAAAGAAGAAGAGCTGACATTGTGTTTATGCTCATCATTAACACGTAGGTTCCTGATACAGGTGAACTCTGGTGGAGCTACATTATCCAAAGTCCCTCCATAACTTCTGCTAGGCAGAACTGGGTTTCAGGTCCTGGCTTGGTTCTCACTTCCAGCACAAAGCAGCAAGATGCAGGGAACGTTACCACAACCTCTGAAAATTAAAATACAGTGAACTTGTGCCACTTTATTCCCGAACAATTTCATATCCAGGCAGATTATAATTAAAGGCATCAAGAGTTCATGCATGAATTCAGGCCTGCTACGCTCCCTCTCTCCCCTCCACACACTGTGGTATGGATGTAGGTATTTGGGAGCAAGAAAGACAGATAGTAGTCCTTTGAAGTCAGAACATCCATACAAGGAATCGATCAAGAACAGACAGCAGAAGTGTAAGTTTGTTTTCTTTCTATCCCCGCCATTTGCAATGAGTCCAACAGCTGCAGAAATTACACCACATCCTGGACAAACCATTAATTGTTGGTACTGGCCTTGCAATACGAAGGGATGGTTCCTTCCAGGCTTTGGGGCCATGGGTCAGTTCAGGCTTCTTTGCAAGACTGTGGACTAAAGCCACGTACAAAAAGCAGATGAGCTGCCTTGCAGATGGCGCTTCCAAGCCAGCAACACATGCAGTGGGCAACCCCTGCTGTTAGCTTAGTCTCCTCACCCCCACCCGGTGACCTGTCAAGATTACCTAGGAGCGTTCCCAAATAGAGCAAGTCAGGGCATGAGTGTCTACCCCTGCAAGAGGTTTTCCCCATCCCTCTGTGGATAATAAACTTATCTAGAGGGTCCATCGTCAGCTCTCCGTAGGTATTTAAAGATTCGCAAGCATTAACTTGCCAGTCTCACTGCGGCAAGGTAGCTTAATTAACATATGTTTGTAAAACACTGATGATAAGCCACCCACAGGCATGTGCCACATACTACTAGTATCTGTTCAGACCCTCCTCAGAAAACCAAAACTAACAATACTCCACTCTCCTCTGCTGAAGGAAAAGCTGCTACTTGGAGACTTCTTTTTTCTTGCCAGGGCCAGCTCAGCTCAACACAATAGGCATAGTTATCTATGAAAAAGACCATTAAACACTCAAATAGCTGTTAAACACGAAACCACCTTTGGGCTGGGAGGGGCACAGTTCGTCCAGTCAGTGAAAGAATAAAAACCTACAAAAGAATTAATTACTTTTAGGTGCCAGGCACCGCTATCGAGGAGCAAAGTTTCCCAGCCCTTGCACAGTCTGTCGAGGCATTTGTAGCAGCGCAAAGAGGATGTGAAGTCGCACTAAATCAGAGCGTAAGGATTTTACAGCTTCTGGCTCTTATCTATATGACTGATCACACCTGTCGCTGAACAGGATTATGGGGTGTGCATGTACTTCTGCGAGCAGGAAGCCGAGGAGATCACCCGCTAGGTTAATGCCTCTTTGGAAAGTTTTCCGTGTTTCCCAGCAGATTTGGTTGTAACAAGCCTGCAAAAGTTGTGCGTATAGGGTGTGCTGGGGGGGTGGGAGCAGGTGGAAGAGGAAATCACTGCTGAGTTAGAAAGCAGGAAAAACCACAAAGCAGGAAAAAACAGAAAAAAAGAAGTCTCTTAGCTGTTATCCCCTTTCCCCAGGGGGAATGTCAGCTCTGAAGGGGATCTTGCCCCCACGTATCCGACACAACCTCTTGCAGTGTCACAGCTGGTTTGTTTTCTTGCCAGGAGTGCCCTGTCACCACTAACAGTCCTTTCCAGCCAAAGATAAATAGGAGGAGCAGCCGCATATTGTCTGGATTCTGTTTGCTTGCAGTCCAGGCTGGATGGCGTTGAGACCACAAAAAATAAACCCCAAAAAAACAACACCCCGTAAACAAACTCACTGCCCTGTATTTAACGAGGGATACCTGCACGTACCGGAGGGGTGGCTGTAAGAGCATCATGACCTGCCTTCTCCTGGGCCAGGGAATCATACTGGGACAGGACAAAGCGAACCATGGGTAGAAAACCCCAATTTGGGGTGGGGTGCAGGGGTACCCCCATCCCACGCATAAGCTTTGGCAAACCATAACATGACCGGCAACAAACCGCAGGGAAAGCCCTGCCGGGTGGACACGGACCAGCTGGAGGGCCAAAACGCTCCCCCAGCTTCGGAGGGGTCCAGCGAGGAAGGCCGGGAGGCTCTCACCACCCTTCCACCCCACCCCAGCCCCGGGGCGCCGCGGGCCCAGGCGTGAAGGCGG